GTTCTTTTAATGATGAAAGAAAATTTCCTTTTAATGGCGAAACAAAAGGTAATTCGAGAATTAACAGCAGAAATAAAGATATTCCTACGGCTGCTGCCTTAGTTTCAACAGAGAATTCTCGAATTAAAGAAAGAGTTTGCATTTTTTGTGATAGAAAAAGTCATAATTCTCAAGACTGTGCTACAGCTGCTGATTCTTCAATTGATGAACGTAATAAAATACTGAAGAAGAAAGGTGTTTGTTTTAAATGTTTAAGAACGGGTCATATAAATTCAGAATGTCGAGTTTTTGTAAGATGGCATTATGTAAAGGTTAGCATTATTTAATGGTGTTCCAAAATTAGAACTATAAAATGATAAAACGTCTCAGAATGAAAATAAATCAGAAGTAGTTAAACTTTATCTATTGCATCTAAGTTTTCTGTTTCATATTTACAAACTCTAATTGCACATATTGTTGTTGATAATAAAACATATCCAGTGAAAGTATTATGTAATTCAGGCTCTCAGAAAAGTTATATTAAGAATTCGCTTGCAAAAGAATGCAATTTGATACCACAGGGCAAGGTAACTTTATCGCAAGTATTGTTCGGTGATAAGAGGATCCCGTTCTCGACATATGATATGTACAAAACTAAGTTATCAAGCCTTGATTCTAAAATTGTTTTTGAATTTGATGTTATTGGATCAGATGAAATTTGTACTAACGTATCAAGATTTAAAAATGAGAAGGTTTATCAAATCCTTAAAAGTAAAGGAATGGAGATAAGTGATTATTTAAAAGATAACCATTATTCAGAAGATATCCAGGTATTGTTAGGCACAGATGCTTGGGCGAAAATTGTAACACCTGAGGTAGTTTCTGTTGAAAAGAATTTAGTGGCTGTCAGAACCACTTTAGATTGGGCACTCTTCGGTAGTAGTTACGACCCAACGTCTACTTGAACAATTATTTGAACTATTGAAACAAGTAACTATTGAAACAAGTAAACAAGAAAACGTCTAAACGTTTTCTTGTTTACTTGTTTCAATGAAATGCTCTATTGAAACATCGAAATTTTGGAAGTTAGAAACACTAGGCATTTCAGGTCCTGTTGAAAAATTACACAGGACGAAAAAGATAAGGAATCAAATCACACATTAATGAAGCCACAGAACTGATGTTTACAGCTGGGTTCTCTACCTTAGAGGTTGGAAAAATAGTTTGGATTTGAATGAGAGTCCAGAAAATGCGCTCGGTCTTCAGTTTCAGCACCGCTCATCAGAGGAATTGGGATGCCAGTAGTGTTTTGGTCTGAAGCTCCCCAGGACGAATTCTCCTTTCATGCATTCAGAAAGTTTTTGATCCTATAAAAGTTTCTTCACCAGCTCTGCTTATTCCAAAGATTATTTTGCAGAAGAATTGGAAATTAAAGTCTTACTGGGACGAGGAACTACCAGAAGACATTCAGAAAGAATTCAGTAAATGGTCTACAGAAATACATTTTTTGAATGATTGCCGAATCCCAAGAAGAATTTTCATTGATTCAACAAGCTCTTTACACGTCTTCTGCGATGCAAGTAAACTAGCTTACGGTGCCTTATATTTTTAAGAAAGGAAGAACATGAAGAAGTTTCTTGATTCTTGTCCTAGCAAACTCCTGACTTACCCCATTGAAAGAAATGACTTTACCGAGGTTGTAATGAATGCCCGCACTTCTGGGTGTAAGATTATATCAATTGGCTATTAAAACTTGAATTGTATAAACACGAAGATATATTTTGGTCAGACTATTCAGTCAGTGGTTTAGCATGGCTAAAGAAGGAAATAATTGGTCTGATTTTGTAGAAAACCGAGTGCCCATAAATAATGACCAGAAGTGCGACCATTAATTACCGAGGTTTGTAATTAATGGCCGCACTTCTAGGTGTAAGATTATTCAATTGGCTATTAAAAGCTTGGATTGCTTGCTTGACAAGTAGATATATTTTTGGCCAGACTCTTCAGTGGTTTTAGCATGGCTAAAGAAGCGAAATTAATTGGTCTGTTTTTTGTAGAAAACCGAGTTAAAGAGATTCAAGATTAGAGCAATAAGGATGTTGGAAACATATACCAGGGATCTTAAACCCTGCTGATTTATTGTCAAGAGGATGCTATCCATTGCCACTCTCTAAAATCCCAATGGTGGACAGGACCTGAATTTTTCTGAAGAAACCTCCAGAAACTTGGCCTTCAAATGATCCCGATTTTGATATGAAAGAAATCGATAAAGAACGACGTTGAACTGTAATTTCGGCGAAGAATTCAACGGTTGAAACTATTCTAGCTAAACTTGCCTCCAGAGTTTTGAAATATTCTATGATTGTACGAACTATTGCTTGAATGTTAAGATTCCGACCCACTTATATGAAAAATGAAAATCGTTTAGCTAATATATCCGCTGAAGAATTCGAGAAAGCCGAAACAACTTTATTTGTTCTCATACAAAAGGATGCTTTTGAAGAAGAACGAAAAAAGTCTGATCTGAAAACTCTTCAGATTTTCGTTGATGAAAATGGAATTTTAAGAATGAAATTTCGAGTTTTAGGTTCTTCATCTTCAGATTTGCTGGAATGTACATTCCCTATATTGCTACCTTCCAAAAATTAATTGTAGAAAGAATGATCGAGCAATTACACTTGAAACATAACAATACTGGAACACAAACACTTCTAATGGTTTTGAGAGAAAGAGTTTGGATTATCAGAGGTAGAAAAACTGTACGTTCTGTGGTAAAAGGATGTGTTACATGCCAGAGATATGCTGTTAAGGCCTTAGAAGTACCTCTTCCTCCTTTACCTGAAGACAGGACAAAAGTGCTCAAAACGTTTCAAGTGATAGGCATTGACTTCGCCGGGCCAGTTTTCTTGAAAGGGAATTTAAATGCTTGGATAATAATTTTCACGCATGCAGTTTTTAGAGCTGTTCATCTTGAATTAATTACTTCTTTGAGCACAAACGTCTTTATAGATGCATTTAGACGTTTTATTTCACGGAGAGGTCGAGTTGAAGTCATATACTCGGACCATGGTTCGAATTTCGTAGGCTTAAATAAAGCTATGAATCAATTGGATTGGGCTGATATCGAGTGGAAGTGTGCATTAATGAAAATAAAATGAAAATTCAATCCTCCCATAGGCGTCATGGTGAAGAGGATTTTGGGTGAGGTTATAAGAATTTTAAAGGATCTCCTCCGAAAAATTAAGACACGCTTGTTTAGGATATGAAGAGTTTCTAACCCTCCATTGCGAATGTGAAAGCCTAATGAACAACAGACCTTTGACTTACCTATCAGAGGAAGCGATGATTGTCACCGTTTTAAAACCTTCTATGTTCTTACAAAAACGTAATGGCAGTAATGTGTATGATTTAGATGAAATTAATTCTATGAGCATTATAGAAAGATGGAAATATTTACAACGAGTTAGAGAAGGACTTAGAAATCGTTTTAAGAAGGAACATCTAAGCTTTCTCCGGAATATTCCAAAGGGTAAAAGAGAAATAATTAAAGTGAATGACATTGTTCTTAACGGAAATGATAAAAAGAAACGAATAGACTGGATGTTGGGTCGAGTACTTGAATTGTTCCCAGGGAAAGATAATATCACGCGTCTTGTGAAGCTAAAAACATCCTCTGGAGATGTACTTAGGCCAGTTCAACGCCTCTTCCCTTTCGAACTAAACAATAGTTCAGATAAACTCCCTTTCATGGAGAATAATATAGGAGACAAGCAAATTTATAAAATAAAAACGAAACGATCAAAGGTTCAATATACACCTATCAGAGAACAGAAAAAAAAAATAAGTCGTCCAAGATGTTTTTAGAAAAACTCGTCTTGGCAGAGAAGTATATTAATTTATTGAGAATTTGGAACTATATGAACTTTATTGATTTTTTAAATTCTTTAAATTTTAGTTTAGAACTTTAAGTTATACTGATGTTGCAAAATCACCATTTGAAAGGTGGGGAGAATGTTGGAAATGAATACAGTTACATCGTTTTATATTTACTTTTTTGGAATGGCAAGAGAAATTGGAATTGTTTACTTAGAATATTCTATCTGTCAGTTGAGTTTAAAAATGGTAATAAAGATGTGAGTATGTTCTAAACTACGTTTTCGTATTCTTTTCGTAAAAATAAACACCGTAGTATTTTAAAAACCCGGTGAAGTGGAGATTTTTTTTATTTTCTCAGGACCATTTCGCCACAAAACTATCGTTGATGCCAATGCTGCCAAAAATAATTGCGGCAAGAAAGAAAGTATAATAGTAAATAACTATCTAAGATTGATGTTTTAATTTAGATGAAAGGTTAAGTTTATATAATACTGTTACGAATTTCGTATTTAAAAAGCTAATGTTAGTTCAATTATAAATTAAATGGTTTCATTTCCCGCGCAGTGCAGCGCGTGACGAATATTAAAAGAAAGCTAAACCGGAAAATTCAAAATACTCGTACAAGAGCACGTGCATTTAACATTAAATAAATAAATATGTCTTTTTGATTTCGAGAAAGTACCAGAAAATTCTCGCACGCGATTTAAAATCTTATAAAGGAGGAAAAAAACCTCTCAGTTTCGTAGTAGTTACTTAGTTTGTTGTTGTTTAGTAAACTGCTCTTGTTGACAGTAGCGAATTCGCGGATTAGCTGTCTTTAGGTGTTTTGAATTAAGTTCTCTTGGAACGTTTGAGTAGTTAGAAGATCCTACTGTGATATATTGTAATACTGCATGATATATTTGAGGACATGTTAATCATATTTTGCTGTGATAATAATAAATTTTCTTCATTTTTCATCGGACTTGTGCATTCATTTCGTAACGAACCCGTACGCACGCAACAATTTTTGGAGTCAGAAGTGGGATTTGAATGCCAATAACAAGAGCGATGGAAGAACAATTCAGGCAAATGATGACTGCATTTGTTGCTTTCCAAGAAAAGATGGAAGGAGCCGTCAACTCAGTTAAGGAAGAAATGAAATTGGGCCAGGAATCCGTTAAGGAAGATATAAAAGCTGTACAAGAAAAGATTGAAGCAGGTCAAGACGAAATGAAAAGAGAAATAACCTGCCTAATAGAAAGTAAATTTGAGGCTATGGAAGACAGAATAGGAGCTGTCGAAAATAAAGTCGGGCAAATTGAAGAAAAGGTTTCTTCTATCAAAGATGAAATAGAAGATAGAGTGTCGGCGGGGGAGCAACAAGTCGAAGGAAGAGTTAGGGGCCGTCCAACAACAAATTGAAGAGAGAGTTTTCTGCAGTTGCCAAGAAATGGAAACTTTAAAGAAATTCGTAGCGACGGCAGGGAGCAAGAGTGATGATTTTAAATTCTTACAGATGCCTGCTCGTCCATCTCTGAAGCTATCCAAATATGATAGGAAAACATCCTGGCAAGTATATAAGACCCAGTTTTCTATCGTTTCGGATGCGAATGGATAGGATTCCCAAATTAAGGCCTGTCATCTCGCCGCTTCTCTGAGAGCAGACGCAGCGGATATCCTGCGGACGCTTCCAGAAAACCAAAGACTTGACTTCGAAGCTTTATCCGGCGCATTGGAGCTGCGCTTTGGCGAGAAATGTTTAAAAGACTACAGCTGGCTTCAATTAAAATCCCGTCAACAGAAGCCCACCGAATCACTCCAGGAACTCGCCACAGATGTTGAAAGGCTGTCCCACCTCGCCTTTACGGAGTGCTCGAGAGAAACGAGGGAAATCCTGTCCCTGCAGTACTTTATCGGTGGCATCCGGGATCCCGAAATACAGAAGGCTCTACGAATGGCGGATGTGAAGGACATAAAATGCGCTCTGTTGTACGCCATGAAGTTCGAGGCAGCCCAGCAAGCAACTAGTATAGATCGCTACCCAGTCAGAGCTGTGCGAGGCCACGAGGCAGTGGATCAACTGAAAGCTCGTTTAGATGATTTAGCCAGAGAAGTCAATGCTTTGATGCGGAGTAGGAGTGAGAACAAAGTGGCTCTAAGGTGTTGGAAATGGGGTATTGAAGGGCACATACGACGGCATTGCAGAGCATCCCAGGGCACGGATAATAAAATGGATGGTTTGACAAGACCAGTGAATGCCTTGAGACGGGATATTGGTGAGAAGAAACCAACCCTAAAGTGCTGGAACTGTTGTGTTGAAGGCCACATACGAAGGAACTGCAGAACACCCCAAAGCACGGAAAGTAAGAGAGGCGGGTTAAATAGACAATTAAATGCCATGGGACAGAAAAACGATTGACAAGAAACCAAGTGCTGGAACTGGAACTGAAGGCCACGTACGAAAGAATTGCAGAACCCCCAGGGTACGAAATTGAGACCATTTCTCAGCAACGACGCAGGAAACAAATTAATGACCACATCAAGAACGGAGGTTGCCAGATGATTGGTCGTTCAAGCACTCAAGATTTCTAGAGTGAGTGGCAACAGTAACGGACTGTCCATCAATAGAAATATCGATGGAGTTCCTTGCAATATGATCATTGACACAGGAGCTAATGTTACCATCATTAGGAAAATTTAGCTGAACAGTTTAAAGATAAACTTATTTGGACGCACCATCCTGTGCTACCCTTCAGTCTGCGTCTGGTGATAAGATCGACATAGCTGAGTTAAACGTGAACATCATGTTTGCAAGTGCCGCCTACCATCACATGGCATATGTGGCGGATATTACAAATCCATGCAGTACTCGGATTGGACTTTTTAAGGAAATATAATTTTTCCTTAGACCTTCAAAAACAATAAGCTGTTCTCAACATCTGAAGACATGACGGATCCATCTTCAAAAGGGATCATCGCCTGGAAACGCCGACGTCTCATGTGAAAGACCGTACTCAGAAAAGCTGCCGAAAATCCTACTAGGGTCGGAGAGAAACGCCAGACTACCTGCTATTCTCCAACTCAAAGATGCTCTTTGGTCGAGACCTTTGTCCTACAGTTGTGACCGCCTGTTTGGTCGCCATACGGATGCGCCTTCATCGCCTGAGGAACACACCCAAGATGTCCAGGCCCGTTTTGAAGGGATGCACTGTTCCGCATGAAAGCAAGTGAACTTGGCGACGGAGAAAGTGAAGACCAGATACAACGTGAGAGCTACTGGACATGGATTCAACAAAGGAGACAAGTGAGGTTGTGGAACCCGATTCAACGAAGGATTCAGTCCTAAATTACAGTCACCTTCGGATGGTCCATATACAGTGCTGAACAGACTGAATGACATCTCCGTAAGTCTTCGAACTCTAAACCTAAAGTCGGTCATTACGACAGGTTAGCTCATTACTATGGCCATAGTATATAACATACATCATAAAGCCGTTGATGGTGGGTAAATAATTGTAAATAGTGTAAGACCATGGTCCTTTTGTTTTTAAATGAGTATTTGATTTGATTATATTTATTATTTGATTTGCATTTAGTATATTTGATTTGTATTTAGTATTTGTTTTTTATTTAGTATTGTTTTTGTATTTGGTATTTGATAGCATTTTATTTGTTTTAGTTATTGTATTTATTGTTCATGTTGTTTTATATTGTAATGTAATGTTTATGCTTATTATTGCATTTATGGCCACGTTGTAAGTTTGCCTTCCTGTCCAGGATTGTACTGCCCGGGACGTGCAGTCCTTGGGAAGGGAACAATGTTACGAATTTCGTATTTAAAAGCTAATGTTAGTTCAATTATAATTTAAATGGTTTTTTTCCCGCGCAGTGCAGCGCGTGACGAATATTAAAAGAAAGCTAAGCCGGAAAATTGAAAATACAAGAGTACGGTGCCTTAACATTAAATAATAAATATGTCTTTTTGATTTCGAGAAAGTACCAGAAAATTCTCGCACGCGATTAAAAAATCTTATAAAAGGAAGAAAACTTCTCAGTTCGTAGTAGTTGCTTAGTATGTTGTCTTAGAAACTGCTCTTGTTGATTGTAGCGAATTCGCGGATTAGCTGTCTTTAGCTGTTTTGAATTACGTTTTATTGGACATTTGAGTAGTTAAAAGATAACTACGTGAGATATTGTAATACTGCATGATAATTTGAGAAAATTTAAGCATTTTTTCTTGTGATAATAAATTTTTGTTGTTCATTTTTCATCGGACTTGTGCATTCATTTCATAACGAAC